CCCCCCCCCCCCCCCCCCCCCCCGTGGACCATCATGACTACCTACAATTTTGTCTGTCTGTTTCAAGCATATTCTTATCATGGTTTCAGGAAACATTTTTGAATTGAGCTAAGTAGGATAACAATCATATCAAATCTTGAGTTAGAATTGCCTGAAAACAGAAGCTATAGGAAAGGTAAGCAAAAAGAGTAAGGATTGTTTTGTAGCGCTAAGCAATGAAGATTAGCATTTAGTGGCTGAATACATTCCAACCAAGCAGAATTCATTGATTTCAATTAAACACAGTTCTGTATGTTATCTACTTCTACAGCTCAAATGGATACATTTTCCAAGCCTTCCAGTCTGAAGCACAGACTGTTTCTTTTTTAAATAAACCTGAAATGAGAAAGTTGGAATGATATGAGTCCCCAGGAATAAGTGAATAAAAATAAAATAAGACATTCCTTCCAGTATGTTTCATTGTCAATCCATCTTGACATTGAATGGTGTGCTCTCTCCTATATTTCATACCATTCAATATATTATCACTCAATTTTAATGTCAGTAAACATTACCAGTATTATTCTTCCCAATTCAATAAAGTATGTCACAGAAATAATATTATTGCAGAAACAAAGTTATCAACCTGATTTTGCTCCCCTGGTTTGCCTATTTCTGAGTAAACAGATCTATTTTATATTGCAAGAACTGTGAACCAAAAGTGTGCTTTACTTCTTGCAAACAGTTTGCAGATAAAACCTTTCTATCACTTATTAGCACCTTACTTAAATGTCTGCAAACTCTTCCTCTTCCATTCCAGCTTATGACTGCAATCATGCAGATATCATGTCCTGGACTGCACATAGCATTTTTTAAACTGATTGGATGTCAGCATCAAGTGGAAGACTGTGCCCATGCCTTCTGTCTTAGCACAGAAACCAACAACTGGCTCCTCTGTAAGTTGTCCAGTATGATGTGTGAACGCAGACTACTGGATTTTGTTTAGCCTCTAAAAACAGGTATCCTGGGTTTTGCTATATAACTGAAAAGGAGGAGATAGGAGGGCTTGCACTAAAGCAGAAGTGAAAGGCACAAAACCCTTTTTAAATTGGTTTAATCAGGTAGAAACAGCTTCCATGATTACAAGTCAGTTCATTTTTCTCCTCCTCTTCCTCAGGCCCCTGCAGCAAAGCTGCTTTTTATGATGTTTTTCCTGAAGAAGAGATTGTGCATTTTTCTGTTCTTCCGGCTGGCTTAATAAAAGTATTATACTATTATGGATTTTAGTTTTATCATTTGTCTTTAAGGTATCCACAAAAATGGAGACTAGGCAACTGAAGACAGGGTTAAAACGAAAGGGGCCTACTCAAGTCTGCACCTCGACACTATGAATATTTCTTTGGAAGTAGGTCCCACTGTGTTGAGAGGGCTTTTGCTCCTAGGAAAGTATATATATAGGAGGCAGACATAGGAATTACACTCACATTCTGCAGTAATAAATATATTAAATGTTTATAGTGCACCAGCAGCTAGGCCACACTGCACCAGATACTGGCTAATGATTGGAGATTTTGTAAAAAGCATAACTGCAAGTGATGATTACAAAAGAATGTGAAGCAAATTATTGCCACCAAGAAAAAAGGAAGAGAAATCCTGCCAATTGTAGAGAAGAATAACAGGACCAGAACTGCTATCCTGTGAACACCTACACATGAGCAAGTCCTATTGGAAAAAGCACCATGACTGGAGGGGAAGGGGAGAAGCTTGAATAACAGACCACCACAACAAAGTACAAGAGGGTTAAGATCTCCTTAGCCATGATGTACTTCTTTTCGTATTAAAATAAGATCCCCTAATCTCCTTCCCCTGAATGCCTGAACCAGATATATGAACAAACACAGTTGCTGCTGTCATGTCAAGCTTGCCTCTTATATCTGCATAACCATGCTTAGGGTTTGGCCTAATTTAAGCATATTCTCGTATTTGCACGCTTAACTTCACACCAAAACCGTGCTTCACCAAACAAACTTAGATCAGAAATAAAAGAAGTATAAGATTTGCAGTGCAAATTTATTGGGGAAAAGAAGGAAGAATGGGAAACTGTTCTCCTGGAACATGAAGATTCTGTCAGGACAAAATGCTTGAAAGCTCTGCCATAATATGATTGCTGAAAGCCTGACACTATAAGAATACCCCTAGACTTAAGGAAGGATCATAATTTTATCATGAAATCATGTTGCGTGTCTTGCTCTCATACATTACACCTTAGACATGGTAATGTATGCCTGCCCTGAAACTACTTGTTCGGTTACACCTTACATATGGCAATGTTTGTCCTGAATTTTTTTATTTTTGTGAGGCTAGGCTTAATCCATTCAGCTCTCATTTTACTCTCATGTGCCTGTAGCAAACTTCCCAGAGATCTCCTCTCTTCCTACCTGAGTATGTTATAAAAGCATCTTGTGCAGACTCCATCTTTGTAGTCTCTTTTGGAACTACCTACATGCTGCTTGTATTTCCTGTAAGTCTTCGTAAACTGTAAATGTTCATTTGAATGTACTCCCCCACCAAAACAGCATTCACTGTTTCTTGACAATACAATCTGTACATATTAATGTGCAAACTAGAATTAAAAGCTAACTGCAAATTACCTATTTGTGCAAGCTCTAACAACCAGAACCACTATTCCAGCAGTAACATTTCTTCCTTGCTAATTATAACTACAAACTAAACAGGTCGGTAGCATTTAACTGTGTAATCAGTTTAAAAACGTATTAAAAAGGTGACCTTGACTACTCAGGCAGCAGCCTATTATTTAGTCCAAATGTTCACCAATGGCCAACACATTCTTAAGAGGCCTGAGTTTTTCTTACTTGCTTTTATTTTTTTTTTACTTATTTTTGCTTTTACTTACCTTTCTTACTAACAAAAACTGCTTTTTCTGCTAAAATGCCTCGTTGTGACACGTGTATCACTCTGTCACCTGAGTGGGGTGGTGTAAATTGATGACCTGCAACAACAGTGTGTTGGAGCCGATGGCCTTCTTGCCCTTTTCCAACTCTTCTACTCTATGATTTTGTTAAACAAACAAACAAACGAGATAATGCTCTTTCCCTCTCCTAGCCTTTACCACTTTATAAATTATTGCTGGTTTTAAGAAAATCCTGGAAAGATAATCAAATAAACATGCAGAACATGTCAACGAATTGCTTAACTGTTTTTTTAACCAGGTGTCAGTGTAAGAAGATGAAGCGGGTACCCCCACAACTCTTTTCTACCCAAGCTCCTTAAGGCACGCTGATGTTACCCGATAACAAACACACTTCCCTGCTTTTCCCTTAGACAGCTTCCCAGCCCTGCGTGCCTCCGGGAAAGAGTCACTCACTCAGCGAAATCTCTACTCGACTGTCTACACGGGCACTCACATTCCCAAAACCTCCGAGCGCCTTTCTTTCACTCACTCCCTAGCGCGTTGCGTTTTGATCGTTGCTAAGTTACGCCACCCCAGGAGAGATTCCAGGGCGCATGCGTTAGAAGAGTTTCCTGTCCCTTTCAATGATCGGCGAAGGGAGGCGGAACGCGATTGTAGAGTTATACTATAAAAACATATACAAAAGTTATAACTTCCGGGTTAATTGTGGATTAGTTCTACCCTCCTTGGCGATATAAAAGCTCGCCGTTGAAAACAATGGAGCAACCTAGCATTTCAGAGTACATATTGCTCGGATAATTGATGCCTCTTCTTCTGCACACTGTCTCCACAAGTTTTTAACCTAAGCGGTGAAGTTGAGGTGGGATGTAAGTCTGAGATGGCAATTTTGATAGCGACCTGAAAGGTGACTTATTTGAGGAATTTTCATCGGGAAATTGTAATCAACCTCAAGGGAACCGGCTCTAATTAGCTTGTAACTCTTTTTTCTAACTCTAGCCCTGTTATGTCTAGCGCATGCGCAGTAGCTCTCGGCGGCTGCCGTTTCAAAGACGGTGTCAAGGCGGGGGCTCCTGTTATGTTTGCATTGATTTTATTCATTTATTTGCGGGGGCGGGTGTGTGGATGCAGTTCTCGTTTGAAGACGAAACTATTCACGTGTCCAGATTTGACTGCCCTTGACATACAGTTTAGCCATAGCTATCATAATGTGCTTCCTCACCTTCAATCCTTGAAGTAGACGTCTTTTTTCTTAAAAGCTGTATAGAGTAATTATTTTCTGTACTTCTCAACAGCCCCGCAAAATCGTGCATACCCACGCAACCACTCGGTCGTTCCTAGCCCGCTGCACAAAAATTTAAAGTCTGGCACAAGGAAGATCGTACAACTCTAGTTGAAAAACACACACACCTCCCCCCTGCCCTTTTAGGTCAAAGCTCTCCTAAGGTACTTTACAGAAGATAATGCATTTTTAAATTTAAAAAATGTCAACAACTCCTAAGATCCCCCCCCCCCGCTAGGAAGGCTACTGGAATTTGTACGTCGTTTTCTGCCGGAATATACAAAAGATTGCACCCTAATTTTTTTTAATGCTGTAGATAACAGGAACGGTGGATCTCATCAGCAGAAGCACTGAAGATGTCTGTGAAAGAAAGAAATCTGACCCATTTATAATAGTATACAGACTCCTGGGCAGCAGCAGTGGTGTTCCATAAGCACCCTTTGGAAAGGAACATCATACTTCTAGGCTTCCCTGAAAAATGGGAAAATTAGAATATGGAATAAAGGACCACCCCACTAAAAATGATAAATTATGTACATCATAGGACACTGGAAATAATACCAGAGTACCAGTATCTAGCAAGCTAATATGGAATGCGCTCCCCAAAGAGGTCTGTCTGGCGCCGTCATTATTTGCTTTTGGGCGCCAGGCAAAGACCTTTTAAAGTTATTTTAACTGTTAATTTATTATTGTATTTATAGATTTTAATATATAGCCAAGATGGTACCAGTTTTTAAATTATTTTTTGTATTTTTATGGATGTTGTGAGCCGCCCCGAAGCTTTGTTGCAATGGGGGCGGCATAGAAATATTTTAAATAAATAAATAAATGTCATCCCCTTCTCTTCCAGGCAAAATTTCTGTCTGTGCATATTCTAAAATTCATTAGCTGGTCACTAATCCCAATGGGAAACAACTTCCATAATATTTTTTCCACAGCTTTTCAGAGGACTAGCATGGAAACAGTGCTTGCTCAAACAGTAGTTCACATGAGTCTGTGCATATTCCAACCCTAAAGTGGAGAGTACTAATACATCTGATCTAAATGATGTAAGAACCAAGGAGGAATTTGAAACCTGGGGTATTCATAAGAATTTAGCCTCAGGAGGTCTGAATACTGGTTTGTTCTGCTATTGGCAACTGTTGAGTAGACTGTTTTCAGAATGTTTGCAGCCATGATTTAATGGTAGACATCTAGTGCAATGCCTACAGTATTAACTGGTATGACAAGATTATCTGCACAGCTGTTTTGCTAGCTAACACTATTGGTATTGTGCAACAGCCCCTTACACTAGTGTGATGTAATTTTAAATCACCAACTGAACACTGACCAAGGAATCTAGCATGACTGGTGTGATGTAATTTTAAATCACCAACTGAACACTGACCAAGGAATCTAGCATGACTGTTGCATACACTATGTAGACGGCTGTGCCACCATACATGACATTTCCAACATATTTATTTATAATCATTTATACCTATTTTTCCATCTAAAAGGTAATCAAAATGACTGACAAATTATTAAAAGTAAGAAAGAAAAACATATAAGCCTAAAACCAAGATAGTAATAAAAACCCTTCATTACAAGAACCCTTTACCTGTGGAAATATAACCAATTTTCATTGCTCAGGATAGCTTTCCAAAGCTTTGGTAATAGGCAAGAAAATGTCTTGTTCTTTTTGACAACTATAACATTTATGATGATGAAGACACTCAGAGAAACGTCACAGTCTGGGACATGGGAAGCTGGGTATCAGACCAGGGCACCAGAACCAGACAACTATGAGGGCCTATTCCAAATCGCAGTCAAGCAGTCCAGAGGTCAAGGCTGGCATCAGAAATACAAGGTACGTCAGTTCAAATAGCGAAAAGAAGTCAAAGCCAGTTAAAGTTGAAAGCCAGAGGGACAAGCCAAGGAGAAGCAGTACATGGGATTGGAGTGGGAGGTGTAGCAGGTGAAGACAGGAAAGGAGGGCAGGGTTCAGAAGCAGAGGCAGGAGCAAGGTGACAAGCCGAGTTTCCGGAAACAGGTTCTCAGGGGGTCACAGAGCTCCAACAATGTCAAAGACCTTCATTGCTGAAACAGCATCTGGAAGGCTCCCACATAGCTCCTCCCTCAGGGATCCCAGGTGGCACTTGTAACAGCCCCAGGTAGCCACAATTGACTGTGGGCCCAGTCTTGCAACCACCATGGCTGCTATTCTGGTCCCCGGCCAGAAGAGGGAGCCCAACACTGCCCAAGAACCTCACAAGAAGGGCCTCTGGTCTCAATCTTAGTGTTTGGGAAGCTTTGCATTTCCTCCATCAGAGAACATAATGTATTAGCTTCAGTCCAGCTGGAGAATTAGTAGCCCTGCAGATTTTGTTGTATTTCAGTTTCCATTAGTTCCATCCAACTTGGTCACAGTATGGCATGATGGGAACAGTAGCTCTTCAAGACCAAGAGGGCCACAGTTGCTTCACTAAAGAACCCTACTGACAAAGCTTCCCCAGCCTGATAGTCTTCTGTTTTATTTATTTATTTATTTATTTATTTATTTATTTATTTAAAACATTTCGACCCAGTCCTTTGCACAGGACAGCTTACAACAGTTAAATAATCATATAAAATACAAATAAAAATTAATAATAAACGCTAAAACATTCAATAATTACAACTGTTCAATTTAAAAAATATATTTTTAAAAAAATTGTTTTATTTTCGTTTTTGGATGATGACTGCCAGCATTCTGACCATTGGGCAAGCTAGTTGGGGCTGATGAGGGTTGAAGTTCACCTGTGAAGCACCAGATGGCAGAAAGTAGAGCACCCCCCCCTGCGCGCGCGCGCGCACACACACACACACACACACACACAAGTAATGGACTGGACTCCCCACTAAGGCCTGCCTACCACAAACTATGCTTTATTTCTGTGTCAGGTTAAGCCTGTCCTCTATGACAGGGCATTTAATTAGTTTTATAATATATTGGGACATTGTGTTAACTGCTTGTCAAGTCTTATGATTTAATTTCTGTAAGCTATTGTATCTCTTTCAATTTGGCTCCTACATTTTGTATTTTAATTTGTATGATGTTTTTATTGTTATCTGTATTTTATGTGCCACTGTAAACCACCCAGAGAGCTTCAGCTATTGGGTCATATAGAAAACTAATTATGAATAACAATTGAACTGGTCAATGTCATTGCTGGCTACTATAAGGGAGGTGCAATGTTTAGTAAGATGTGGTTCAGTTGTGGGGGGGGGCAGGATGGGGGAAGAAAAAATTCAGCTTGTTCTATGTACCATAGTGGCTCTTAGTATCAGTACTTAAGACCTTAAAGTTAACCCATGACTACAGTTTGTTTTCATAATTGCAATGTATCTGCTTGCAATTGTTCTAGTCTTAAGAGGTAATACAGCTTTTACAGAGAATGCTGACCATTTGAATCAATGCTTTTTTTATCCTGTGTGTAACATAGCTGTGCCATGAAAGCCTTTTTCAGACCCAGAATATAGAAGCAGCACTGGGGATATCAGTGACTTCACATTTGGTGTATGGTTGTGTGTGTAATGTTTTCTTAAAATTTAACCTATTATATTATTATTAGGTACTAAAGAATTGAGGCCTTTGAATTGTGGTGCTGGAGGGGACTCCTGCAAGTCCCTTGGACCACAAGTTGATCAAACCAGTCAGTCCTAGAGGAGATCAATCCAAATTAAGTTATACTATAGTGAACCCATTGTTCACATAAGAAATCCCTCAAATTGTATTTTATTTAATATACTTAAAACATTTATTTGCTGCCTTTCAGGGCAAAAGTCTTTCCAAGGTGGCATACGGCAATAAAACACATAAAACCAATACAATGGATGTTGCAGTTATGATGGACAAGTTAGTGAAAATGTCAACCCAGTCTCAGGAAGAAGATAAACTTCAAATTAGGCTTAATTAAGGCAATGAAAATAAAGCTGCCGTCATATAGCTCTACGAGGTGCAACTACACTTAGAATACTGTGTATGGTTCTGGTAACTTCATGGAAGAAAGGATAGTGTACAAAAGCTGGGAAAGTACAAAAAGGGGCTGGAAAACTCCCCTAGGAGAAAACAGCTGGGATTGTTTGGCTTAGCAAAAAGGTAAGTAAGGGAAGACATGATAGAGGCAAATAGAATTGCACAGTATGGAAAAGCTGATCGGAAGATTTTCTCCCACTTTCATGATACTAGGACAATGATGGCGAACCTTTTACAGACCAAGTGCACAAACAGCAACCCAAAACACACTTATTTACAGCAAAGTGCCAACACTGCAATAAAACCT